CCCTTTCTTCGTAGGCAACCCGGGAATTTGGTGCCCGATACACCCCCATAGAACTTGGGATGTTCCCCCTATACTAGCAGTCCTTAGTAAGGATTACAATACCCCCCTAGATTTTAATCCCAAGGACTGTTAGTCTAAGGGTGAAACATGCCAAGATATAGCCCTCGAAGAGACAATGTTCGGGCCATGCCCCGACAATTCCCTTGCTAAGAACCAGTAACCCTAAACCCTAAACCCTAAACCCTAAACCCCTAAACCCTAAATCCTAAACCCTAAGCCCTAAAGTAAGATCACGAAAATCAGGCCAAGAGAGTCCCCACACCTCATGGGTTCCCCCCCCCTCTGTACTACCCTGCCCCCCTACGTGTTTAGGGTTTAGGGTTTAGGGTTTAGGGTTTAGGGTTTAGGGTTTAGGGTTTAGGGTTTAGGGTTTAGGGTTTAGGGTTTAGGCTTTAGGGTTTAGGGTTTAGGGTTTAGAGTTTAGGGTTTAGGGGTAACCTTAACTAGGCTGACTTCTCCCCCCAAATATGCTGAATGATGGGGGCCGGGGGGCGGCGGTAGGGGGTAGTGTCGAGGGGGGTAGTAGGGGAACCCCTGAACAGTGAACACCGTAATGAAGGAAAAGACCATGCAGTACCGGTCACGGTGCTGGTCCGAAATTAGGGGTGGGGGCAGGGGGGGTTCAAGTTTAGAGTTTAGGGTTGAGGGTTGAGGGTTGAGGGGAGAAGTCTTGAGATTCAACATCATCGGGTTCCGGGGGCGGCAGGAGCCCTATGAGCTCTGCAAAACATGCCCTATGCACTCTACAACTAAGGTTTCGGATTTAGGGTCTGTGCCCCCTGATATTCAAAGGAGGGTCTTGTAAGGCGAGGCATGAAAACCCTCTGAGAGACCCCATGAACCCTAACGGCCCCTAACAGCCCCAAAGACCTAAACAAAGGGCCTCCAATCAGCAGGGAACCCAAAATCTAAGCAGTAGCCCTGTAAGGGACACCTAAACCCGAAACCCTGAACCCTAAGCCCTCAACCCCAAACCCTAGCCCCTGCAAGCTTTGCCTGACATCCCCTGAACTCAGCGCCTGACCGGCACCTGCTTCGCAGCCGCCATAGACTCGAGGACGGCCAACATCTGCGGGAAGGGGGGGGGGGGGGGGTTGGGTGGGGCGGGACCGGAAGTGGGGGGGGGGGGATTCCGAAATACCGAGATGAATTTTCAATAGCTTAGGGTTTAGGGTTTAGTGTTTATCATGCGGAATGTATAAAAGAGTTTCTTTTGTGCGTACCATAGTTTCCTGCCAAACTTGCCATGTAGGTGAAACCGTGGGCACGTGGGGTGGCGGCTTCGAAATTGGCGGTCCAGTGCCCATCGTAAATGAGGACATTTTTTTCTGCCCGCGCTCGTATACGGGGTAAAGGAAACTGACACATACGTCTCCAAGATGGATCTATTGGTATAGAAACGCAAGTTTGGCCGAGGTCCCCCCCGCCACACGCCCTTTGCTTTGCCAATGTGGAAAATCTGTGTAGAGTTTGGCTGATACCCTACTTGTCTCAAGGGGACGTACGATGGGACGCATTAGATGTTGCCAGCCAATGCGCTTGCCTTTCAATCAGAAGTTGGGAAAAGAGTGTCTTTTGTTCTTCGTGCTGTGTGCTCTGAAAACGGGTGGGATGTAGGATGCCTTGTGCGTAGATGAGCTTCAAAAATTTTAGGGTCTGAGGGTTTGAATTATATAAGGGTTTCGGGTTTAGGGTTTAGGGTTTGGGGTTTAGGGTTTAGGGTCTAGGGTTTAGGGTTTAGGGTTTGGGGTTTGGGGTTTGGGGTTTAGGGTTTAGGGTTTAGGGTTTAGGGTTTAGGGTTCAGGGACCCCAACCTCTCTGGATCTCCTGAGGCCCTTCGCCTCGTGAGGATGGCATGCACCTGTGAAGCCATCAGGGATGGTGATGGCAAATCGTCGTCCGCCACCCTAAACCCTAAACCCTAAACCCTAAACCCTAAACCCTAAACCCTAAACCCTAAACCCTACACCCCAAGCCATGATGAGCGCAAAGACGCTCTCCTGGGCATCTGGGACGTTTTTTTTTTTTTCAGTAGATCGGCGATGTACCGATGAAGATCATCGACAACCCTCATCCCCACGTGGGATGTGTTGGAATGAATGGGATGGGTCCTTAGTAGCATGTGGTCATTTCCCAAATTGGGAACCCCTATATGCCCAAAAGTACTAGACTCTTTTTCTAGGACCCTCCCAAAAAAAGGAACCCTATTGTGGGAAACCCCCGTGTTGCAAGGAAGACCGCAAAAAGGACAAGAGTTTAGAGAAAGCACTAGAAACTCTAATGCTGCTTTGCCTTCACAAACTCTCTTGGGGTTTAGGGTTTAGGGTTGAAAGTATAGGGTTTAAGCCCAGAATGCCACATGGCCCAGGCTTTGCTTTGGGGAAGCCGACCCAAAACCTAGGCCGCCCGGGCGTCACCCTAGGACGCCCTCAGCCCTGAACCGAAAACCCTAAACCTAAACCCCAAACCCTGAACCCTAAACCCTAAGCCCGGCATATGAGGCTTGAGGCCCTTTTAGCACGGATTCTCCTTGTAATCTAGCTTGCAGGCCCCCTAAACCCCAAACACTGCAGGATTCGGGTTGAGCGTTTGGGGCTTGGGGTTTCGGGTTTAGGGTTTAGGGCATAGGGTTTAGGGTTGAGGAAATTCATAGGGTTTAAGGTTTAGGGCTTAGGGTTGAGGATCGGGTTTAGGGTTTAGGGTTTAGGGGTGGGGGGGGGGGGTGCACGGGACTGCCTCGCCCCAGCGCCCGGCATTGCGGCAAGCGGTCAGGGCCGCGTTGAAGGACCTCTAGGAGTTTGGGAGTTTAGGGTTTTAGGAGTTCAGGGTTTAGGGTTTAGGGTTTTCGGAGTTCAGGGTTTAGGGTTTAGGGTTTAGGGTTTAGGGTTTAGGGTTTAGGGTTTAGGGTTTAGGGTTTAGGGTTTAGGGTTTAGGGTTTTCGGAGTTCAGGGTTTAGGGTTTAGGGTTTAGGGTTTAGGGTTTAGGGTTTAGGGTTTAGGGTTTAGGGTTTAGGTTTTTCGGAGTTCAGGGTTTAGGGTTTAGGCCTTGGGGCATGCTTAGTAGCTTAGGACTTTGGAATTTTAGGGTTCGGGGGCCGTAGCGTTTACGGTCGAGGGAACACTTCAAAACCCCGAACCATGGAGTTTGGGTTGAGGGTTTAGGGTGTTAGGGTTTTGGGGTTTCGCCATCAGGACCTAAACCCTAAACCTAAACCCTCAACCCTACACCCTAAACCCTAACCCCTTAACCCTACACCCTAACCCTATCTGCTCTTTTGGATCCTCTCAGGGCCCTAAAGCCCTAAGCCCCTCTAAACGCTAGGGCTTGGACCTTGGACCCTTAAGGTTGTACCCTAGGGTTTAGGGTTTAGGGTTTCGGGCTTAGGGTTTAGGGCTTAGGAAAGATCCTTAAGGTAGTTTAAAGGCCATTTGAGGAGTAGAATTGTGTGGAACCGTTAGGGGTACAACCTTAGGGGTACGAGTCTGAGTCCCTTGATCAACAGACATAAACAGTGCCCGGCCACAGGCGGTCAGCACGTAGGCCAGAAGCAGAACTCTTGAGGGAGGCGCTGGGCCTCAGGCCCCCCCCAAACCCTGATGATATGTCTGGGCCCGAAGGCCCATAAGCCCGAAACCCTGAAGCCAAAAAATCTAAACTCCGGAGCCATGCTGCGCTGTGAATTTCGGAGGGTTTAGGGTTTAGCATTCAGGTTTTAGGGTTTAGGATTTAGGGCTTAGGGTTTAGGAGGTGGGGTCTAGTGTCTAGGGTCCAGGGTCGTTGCTAAACCCGAAACCCTGAACCCTAAACCCTATATCAAACCTAACGGCTAGGGCCCTACACCGTAAACCCTAAACTCTATATCAACCCTAAACCCTAAGCCCTAAACGCTACACCCTCAAACCTAACCCTATATATATATATGTACATATCCTAAATGCTAAAGCCTAAACCCTAAACGCCCTAAACCCTACATCAACCCTATACCCTAAACCCTAAACCCTAACGCTAAACCCTAAACCCTAACCCTAAACCCTAAACCCTAAACCCCAAACCCTAAACCCCAAACCCTATACCCTAAACGGCCCTTTTTAAGGGGAGCGGCCCCAGCTGTGCAAGAAGAGCCAAAGCCCTCGACCACTCCGCGGCTTCGGCGCCTCAGGTGTCTCGAGGGGTTTAGGGTTTAGGGTTTAGGGCTTAGGGTTTAGGGTTTAGGGTTTAGGGTTTAGGGTTAAGGGTTTAGGGTTTAGGATTTAGGGTTTTTGGGTTTTGGGGTTTGTGGGTTTTTGGGTTTGGGGTTTAGGGCCTCCTGGAGGACCTCGGGCTTCTAAGACTAAGAGCTTTGGGAGGTCCCTGGGGGCTTCGGTGTCGGTTTGGTGTTGGGGGTTGCTGGCGCCTTCGCCCTTTTGGCGCTAAGGGTTCAGGGTTCAGGGTTCAGGGTTCAGGGTTTAGGGTTTAGGGTTTAGGGTTTAGGGTTTAGGGTTTAGGGTTTAGGGTTTAGGGTTTAGGGTTGAGGGTTGAGGGTTGAGGGTTTAGGGTTTAGGGTTTGGTTTAGGGTTTAGGGTTTAGGGTTTAGGGTTTAGGGTTTAGGGTTTAGGGTTTAGGGTTTAGGGTTTAGGTACGTCATTAGGGGCTTGAGGCTTCGGGGGGTTGAGGTTTTCGTACACAAACGATTCCGAAGCCTCCGTCGCCCTCCGATCCATGAAGCGGGGTGGGTGGGGGGGGGGAATCTAAAACGAGGAGAACCTTCTTGGCACCCCAACAGGAAAAAATAGATACAGGCAAGGATCCGCTTTTTAGAATAACCACCGCTGTGCTTTAACGGAAAGAAAAGATGTAGCCCTAACGTTAAACCCTGAACCCGAAACCCGAAACCCCGAACCCTGAACTACTACAGCTAGGCGCGGCGCAGGCCGTAATGCCGGTGTTCCAGGAGACAAGGGTCATGTCCGTACCCAGAGAGGACAGCCTTGGGGAGGGGCCCGGATTGTTTGGGGTTTAGGGTTTAGGGTTTAGGGTTTAGGGCTTAGGGCTTAGGGTTTAGGGTTTAGGGTTTAGGGTTTAGGGTTTAGGGTTTAGGGTTTAGGGTTTAGGGTTTAGGGTTTAGGGTTTAGGGTTTAGGGTTTAGGGTTTAGGGTTTAGGGTTCGGGGGCTAGGGACGGTTAGGGTTCAGGGTTCAGGTGCTTGGTTCGAGGGTGAGTTCAGATCTTCCGAGAATCGTGAAGTCGGACCCACATCGTCAATACCCTGAACTCTGCACCGCTATGTCGCTAGGCCCGCCCTGGGATGCCTTGTAAACCCTACACCGAAACCCGAAACCCTAAACCCTATACTAAGAAGAACCCCCTAAGGTTCAGGTTAGTTGACTTTGCCCCAAAACCAAAAGCGAAAGGCACCACTCAACAGCCCTAATCCCCACACCCCAAACCCCCAAACCCTACAACCCCCAAAAGCTGAAAGACCGCGCCACTGCTCCAGCACCGCCCGCCACAGCGCGGCCCTACCTCGGTTGCTACTCATGAACCCCAAGCTAAGTTGCACATCGTGAGGAAAGCATATTACTCTGATCCCCAACCCTGAATCCTACCCTAAGCCCCCCAACCCCCCAAACCCTAAACCCTAAACCCCAAACCCTAAACCCTAAACCCCAAACCCTAAACCCTGAACTGAAAAGACTGGAAGTTCCTCGTCCCAGGCACCCAACGCCGCCATGGCGGCGTTGCGGCAGCGGGCGTCCGCCAAACCTGGGGAGCCGACGTTTTAGGTTCAGGGTTTAGGGTTTAGGGTTTAGGGTTTAGGGTTTAGGGTTTAGGGTTTAGGGTTTAGGGTTTAGGGTTTAGGGCTTAGGGCTTAGGGTTTAGGGCTTTGGCAAAGCTGGGTTTGGGGTTGAGCGTTTAGGGTTTGGGGCTCGGATATTCGGTGAGGCTTGGGGGTCCCGAGACACACCTGGACGCTCCGAAGAAGCAAGACTCGTAGGGTAGATACATGGTCCCCTTTTATGGGCTCCCTTAAGGACCTCACTACAAACTCCTAGGAAGCCCCCCACGCAATGCTTGCACAGAACTCCCCCGAAACCGCAAACCCCAAACCCTAAACCCCAAACCCGAGACCCCAAACCCAAAACCCTAAACCCTCAATCCTGAACCCTAAAACCTAAACCCTGAGCCCTAAGCCCGAAGCCCTAAACCCTAAACCCTAAACCCTAAACCCTAAACCCTAAACCCTAAACCCTAAACCCTCAACCCTAAACCCTAAACCCTAAACCCTAAACCCTACGCTTGCAAGGAGGAGCCGGCATCTTGCGCAGCTCGGAGGAGCTCCAGGGCCTCTCAATGGACTTCCGGGGGCGGTCGAAGAGGGAGGGTTTAGGGTTTAGGGTTTAGGGTTTCGGGTTTCGGGTTTAGGGTTTAGGGTTTAGGGTTTAGGTTTGGGGTTTGGGGTTTGGGGTTTGGGGTTTGGGGTTTGGGGTTTGGGGTTTGGGGTTTGGGGTTTCAGGTTTCAGGTTTCAGGTTTCAGGTTTCAGGTTTCAGGCTTCGGGTTTGGGGTTTGGGGTTTGGGGTTTGGGGTTTGGGGTTTGGGGTTTGGGGTTTCAGGTTTCAGGTTTCAGGTTTCAGGTTTCAGGTTTCAGGTTTGGGATTTGGGGTTTGGGGTTTGGGGTTTGGGGTTTGGGGGTTTGGGGGTTTGGGGGTTTGGGGTTTGGGGTTTGGGGTTTGGGTTTGGGGCGAAGATCATCTTCCGCCCCAACAGTTCGTAAACATAATAAAAACTCACCTCCCCAATATATGGTAAATTATTTATAGTAGATAGATCCATGAATGGATCTATCTACTATAAGAAATTTTAACTTACGTAATTGCATACAGAAACGAAAAACCTTAAGGTTAAATTCAGGCAAAGCCTGAATTAATGTAGAGGTAAATTTAGAAGCTTTGCTTCTAAGTGTTTATCTACCATACCGTTCCGGAAGATAAGGAAAGCGAAGCTTTCCTTATCGCCCGGAACTATGTAACGAAAAAGAAAATATAGTAGAGCTCCAGTAGTTAAATCTAAAGCGAAGCTTTAGACTTAACGTTTAAATTAAAGGCTTTGCCTTTAATTTAAACTAGTTAGCTGTTGAAAATATAATAAAAGTGAGGAGGCTGGCTTGGGAAACCAGCTCTCAAAATCACGATGGCGTCCGCTCGCCGCTCACCTGATTTAATACGGAATTGGGCATATTAATCTGGAGCAAACCGCTATAGTCAAATCTGTATGTAATTCAGATTTGAATAGTCAAAAACCGTATGAGTGTTTGCTTTTGACTGTTCGAGTTCATCTTCTGGCCTTGGGAAAGCCAGTATTTGATGGTACACGACATAAATCTTAGTTGGGAGGCTTTGATTTAGTTCAATTTCTGAAGACCAGGTAGAAGTGTTACGTCAGATAATTGTTGGTGGGTAGTTGTTGTTGTTGGCTTGAGCTTGAGGATTATATTTTCCTCAAAATCAAGCTGTTGTTGTTGGCTGAGTGTTCAATTTCTGGAGCTGATCTCAGAAACTTTTTTTGTCGGTCCCAAAGGATTTGCATACGCCGTATGTACATCCTTTAAGGCCGACAAAGAAAACTTTTTCTGGGAAATGCGTGACAATACGAATTCTTAAAGGATTTGCTTGTTTTTGGCCCTTTTTTTCATTTTCTGGTTTTCAACCCGCAACTTTCTAAATGGAGCATGTAAATAGGACCCGAAACTTCTCAAATGAGTTCCATTTCGAGTTCCATTTCTGGATTTGAATCTGAAGTTTTACTTCAGATTCAGTTTCAAATCCAGAAACAGTTGGGGTTTGGGGTTTAGGGTGTGTAAGTCGTATTCGGTCGCTCGGGTGTGAAGAACCCCGAGCCACTGGCTCGAGCTCAGCTAAATTACACCCACCCTTCGGGTTTGGGTTTCTACCCCAACCCCCGAACAAGGTGGCTTTTTTTCCCCCTGCTTATGCGGGTTTTCCAGTCGCCACAACACCGACGAGCTGTTTCACGTCTAGCGTCGGGCCGAGGGTGAGGCAGTAGTGTTCCTGCCCCCAACCCCCTATCAAGGGAGCTTACTTCTTTGTTCCTTCTTGCTTGGGTTTTTGGTCACCACAACACCAACGTGGTCGGGCTGAGGCGCCTCACGGGGGAATACCCCCTGCGGCGTGGGCTGTACGGTCGGGAAGGCTCTTCACAGGGAGGCTTGTCACGAACCCTAGCCTAAATCCTAAACCCTATATAGAGGCTCTAAATCCTAAATCCCGGACCCTAAAAGGCCCTGAACCCTAAATCCTAAATCCGTAAAGGCCCTGCCCCAGGATTTGCCCCAGCCGATACTGACAATAGCGCTATTTGAGTACGCAGCCACCGCTCGGGCTCTGCTGAGTTTAGGGCTTAGGGAATTAGGGTGTAGCGCTCAGGGTTTAGGGCTTATATGGGGGTACCTACTTCCCGAATTCCCTACCTAGAACAAGGGGTTTTGGGCTTTCGGGCTTCGGGGGTTCAAAAAACCCGAATCTCATGAAAGCCCTAAGACCCCTTCAAGCCTCCATTAGGTTTTTATAAGGTGCGTAAGGTTGTCTAAAGGATATAAACACTCATCCTAAACCCTAAACCCTACAGCAAGGTATTCGAAATAGCGGAGGCTAGTTTCCCGGCTTCAGTTGCCTATCTTCAATTTTTTTAAAAGCCTTAGATTCCTAAGCCAAACCCCGAAGGTCAAACATTCCCGCAAAACCCCCTAGTTTTCAGTTGGGAATGAGGGAATTAGGGCCCTATATAGACCCTTTAAGGGAGTAAAATAGGATACATTATTCCCTCATTCCCGACTAAAAACCAGCCACACCTAAACCCAAAAACCCGAAAGGCCTGAAACCCTAAACCCTGAAACCCTGAAACCCTGAACCCCCTAAACCCACTAAACCCTAAACCCTTAACGCTAAACCCTAAACCCTAAACCCCCTCAACCCCCTCAACCCCCTCAACCCCCTAAACCCTGCGACCCTCCAAGCCCAAGCGCGCCCGGACCTGCAGCCAGCGCGCTGCACGACCGCAGGATGTCAAGGCAGAGGTGAAGGCCTTCGGCGGTTGTGATCCCCTAAACCCGAAACCCTACACCCCAAACCCTTGGTACCCATGTCCTTGGGGTTTCTAA